CTGGGTAAACTGGGAGTAATTCCAACCTTCAGGGAAGACAGTCTGGGATTAAGGCCTTGAATCTGTTTAAAACCTCATTTTTAGTTCAGCTGGTTCCACTTTCTCATGCAGAGAATCATAGAAAATTAGGGATGGAAGGGACCTCAGGAGATCATCTAGTCCAACCCCTTGCTCAAAGCAGGATCACCCCCCAGCTATAGCATCCCAGCCAAGGCTTTCTCTATCCGGGTCTTAAAAACCTCCAAGAATGAAGACTTCACAACCTCAAGAAGGCTCAAGGGAGCAAGTCAGAGAAGACCCAGGCCATCCTGCTCTCTCCCTGTTCTAACCATTACAAAGTGCCCAGTCCCTGTAACTAATCAAAAGCTGAAAAGCCTCCACAGGCACAGTCACAAGCAGCCCTCCATCCCAAGTGTGTCCAGTCAGCCTATCTCATTGGCAGAGGTAGAAGTGAGCATTTACGTGGTGCTTCTACCTGGAGTTCTCAGGATCCTTTAAAAACTATCAACCCCTTTCCTGCAAAAGGAAGCTGAGGCACAGAGAGGCCAGGTGATCCTCTCTAGCCCACATGGGGAGGCAGTGGAAGAGCTCAGTGTCCTGCCCATCATCAGCATTGCCCACTGGATCACATTCTCCCGCAGAGTGAAAGTCATCCCTTTGCAGAAGGCCAGTCTGGACCACTTCAGTCCTAATGAGGCCAATGGAATCCCCATGTGGTGTGGGGGACACCTCACTGCATGCTTGGTCTTCACCTGGTGGGGAGATGGAGAGGGACGCTGCCCATTTCCAAGCTGCACCTTTCCAAGGGGCCTTTAAAACATGCATCTCACCAGCACAAATGAAAGTGCTCTCAATTAACTGGGAAGGAGCTGAGCTGAGAAAGGAGACTGAGGCCAGGGTGCACCCTGAAAATCATTCCCAGCTGGACTGAAAAGGCCCGAGACATCTCTGATCCCCATACAGCGGAAAGGCCACAGGTGTGATCTGTCTGACATCCAGCTTTGCTTCCTGCAGCTCTGCCTAGGCACAGGCACAAGTAACTGTGGGTGTGAGAGATGGTACCGAGACCTCTGATTGCATGGCGCATCATCTCAGTGGCATCAGTGGCATCTGTGTGACCCTCACGGGGTGTGGTGGTGAAAGCAGCCCCAAGCTGTGGGGTGCGTATGTGAATGGGGACCAGTGGGGCTTCAGAACCGAATGGACACCAGAAACAGGAAGCCCAGTCAAATGGAAATCAAAGAACCTGCAGTGATGTGTAGCAGAGGTTGGGAGTCACTGGACTGGGTGGCTCAAGAAGTTTACAGCAAGCTCTGAGAGCGTGACGGCACATGGTCAGTGTCTTGCTTTTGGCCCCCCCAGCTACTGTCAGGAGGTTCAGAAATGGCCGTTTTTGTTACATATGTTACTGTCCAATTCATGTCAGGATTTGGGTTGGTGAGAAATTGTTCCTGGCAGCATGACTTTTCATGGGGATTCACTGTGTTATCAGCTACCTTCTTTAACCGCGTTTGTGGTGTGAGATCATTATGCCAGCAGTCCAGAGGAGGACGCCTGTGGGGACAGGGGATCCCTTGAGCAGAGTTAAAAGTGATGGAGAGGTGGGAACACCTCTTACTGACCCAACCGAGCTCAAGGGTGGGGAGAGAACAGTGGGCAGGATGAGCAGGGAGGAGACAGGGCAGGGGGTCACTCAGAGATAAAGCATGTAACAGTTACCTGCTGCATCCTGAACTAGGGGAACATCACTTTTTACTGGAGTTGGAGTGGCAATGATGGGCGAGAACCCAGGCGTGCTGGCGGCAGGCATGACAATGCCCCTGCTGGATCCGAGGGTGGCACTGAGCAGAGAGTATGATAGACAAGATGGAGAGAAGAGATAGGGGAGGGTGGGGAGGGGAGACCTGAGCAGGGCTTGTGAGAAAGATGGAGGAAGAGGTGGTGGAGGTTGTTGTGCATTGTGGGTAGCATCATCGGCAACGGCAGCAGTAGTAGTAGGAGGAACCAGGCAGCCTGGAGAATGTGGAGAGAAAAAAAAGCAGAAAAAAAAAACAAAAAAAGAAAAGAAAAAAGGAAAACAAAAAATACCAAACAAACCAAAACAAAAAGAAAAGAAAAACAAAAGAACCGAAATGAGAACCCAAGAGCGGAAGCCGTATGATGAAAATGGAAAATACATTCACACACATATGAAACGGAACTGGAACAGAGACGAGATGGAAGGCGTGTGACTGACAGCAGCAGGAGGAACAGGGGCGCTGCAGGAGATGGGGTGGCCTGAACCGCAGGGAGGTGGAGTTACAGTGTCTAAAAGGAAAGCTGTCCTGAGTGGTTTGTGTGCATCCAGCTGCACGGTGCCTGCCCGTGCTTGGCCCTGCTGTGAGCACTGTGCCGCTGGGGGCAGGAGGAATCCCAGAGGCCTGTGGATTCACTTGGGTGCGTGTTAGTTGGTGGATCATTTAGGAGGCACGACTGACGCCTCTGACACTGGGCTAATTTAACAGGGAATTCCAGGACCCACTGCCCCTCTGGAGGAGCATCAGTGCTGTGTGGAGCTGTCATTATCATGCAATGTTTATATCAGAGCAGTGCACAGAGGTTGTGTGTTAGTGGCATGTGTGACATGAGAGGTCAGAACATTTCTGTTAGCTGGAGAGCTGCAGAATGTCAGTGGGAATTACTTATGAATTGTATTTCCTACTGCTATTTAAATGTAACAGAGATCAACACTCAGCCAGAAGTTTGAGGAGAACCCCCTGAGCAGAGACACACCAGGTTCAAGTAAAGTAGAAAAAATACCCATGTGATACTGAAGTCCTAAATGAAAGGAAAGTTTGTGACGAGACCCAGAGAGCCAGGGTGCCATGGGGAGGGCTCAGAGAAAAGGCTGTCCTGTACCAGGCTGACAGAACCCAGGCCACCCAAGGGCACCCTTCGCAAGTGCCATGGGATGTGAGACAGGAGCTCTTTCATTTAGGAATCATATGAGCCTCAGGAGTTCACAGAAATCATGTAACTTATGGAAATGGAGGGCAGCCAAATATCATTTCTGAAAGCCAGAAGTGACATCAGCATTGCCTTTCAGCATTCCTTCCTAAAAGAGGATGTGATGTCAAGGAGGCTCTTCTGTGCATCTCTGTTGCTCTGGACGTGACATGGGAGATTTTGATTTTTTGCATCACTACCCTTAGAAGGGGAGGAGCTCGGTGGGTTACTTTTGTGTGCCACTTCCTGAAACAGTGATGTCAGAGGTTTCCCTGCATCCATCACTTGCTGAGAGGGACGTGTGGTTAGATGGCTGCTCCTGTCTAATCTTTTGAGCCTCAGGAGTTCAGAGAAATACCGGACTTCCAGATGTGGCACAGCCACACAAAAGATACCAGGGAAATGTGGGAAGCAAGAAAGCTAGCCCTTGGGACTCAAGTGGAGGTGTTAATCAGCTCCATTGGGCAAGATCCTCTTCACAGATGGAGAAAGAAGAGGGTGGCTGGAGGTCAAGGATATCCTAGGGGAAATGTGGCAGAGGGGAGCTAACCTGGGAGAAGGCAATATCTGCTGAGCTGGAGCTGACAAGTTTGTAGGAGAAGGTACGGTTGCTCACTGGCCTCTACTTGTGAATTCAGCTCTCATGGCAGCAGACGGCTGATAATCCATTTCCCCCAGTTGCCCCTTACCTGCCGACGTGCTCTCGTTGCCCACTGGAGTGCTGGAGCAGCTGCGGTCCATGTTGGAGGACTCGGAGGAGATCCCCCCAGGGCTACAGCCGGTATAATCCATATACTCGTCTGTTTCTGTGTCCATCATGCTCTGGGGTCCCTGGAAGGAAGCTGGGGTCCCTGATGAAGCTGGGCTGGGTGCCATGCTGCCAACGTGGGGGAGATTTTCATTTCTTGGAGTGTGGCCAATAACCTGCAGCAAGAAATTGAGACAGGGATTTCACACTGAGCGCGAGATGTCAGGACCAAAACCATCTGTCCGCGTGTTTTGTTTTCCCTGACATTGTTCTTCGGGGATAGCTGGACCACGTTGGCACAGGAAACCAATGGCACTGAGGCTGGGAGCATGAGTACTGCCTCGTTTGGAGTCTGGGAACATTCACCTTGGCACTAGATCCATGGTGTGTGAATTGTGAGGCACTCAGAGGCTGGGAGTGTTAATCTTGGCACTAGTACCCCAGCATGTGGATTCTGATGCATTCAAAGACAGGAGGTGTTAATCTTGGCATTAATGCCTTACTATGGGGATCCTGCTGCACTTAGAGCCTGGGAATATGAATATTGGCATCACTATCCTGGCATGTAGATTCAGATGCATTCAGGTGGGAGGATGTCTATTGCTATCGGTGCTTGCTTACAAGACTCATGAAGTCAGGGTGCCTGGGTGGCAATTCCAGCTGCACAGGACTCCACAGGAACCACTGCTACTTACAAGGGCACGAGCCTGCTCTGAAGTCCATGCCCCTGCCTCTATATCAATCCTGGTACCCAAGCCAGCTAGATTAAAGCCAGCCTGGTTTGTCTGTACATGCTGCAGTCGTGCCTCCCGGCGGGAGAGCAGACATGTGCCTAGAGTGTGGGAATGTGACTCGTAGCACTACTGACCTGGTTTGTGGGTTCTGAGGCTGGGTGTGTGTGAGTCTTGGCACTAGCCCTGCTCTGCAGGGAACCATCAAGGGGGCATCACTTACAGACGCAGCTGCTGCTTAAATAACCAGTGAGTCACCTGAGTGGGAACTCGGTCAAAGTTTTTCCCCAGCATCCTCCTCATGTGCTTCCTGGCGTGAGATGTCATTTGGTGCTTGAGCAGGAAGGAGAACTGGCAGCCCTCTCGAATGCAGTGGAAATGACTGTTTACCTGGTTATACTTGCAACCTGCCAACACAAAACCGATACCAATCCAGTCCATTAATACAGCAACAGTACGGGAGGGAAGGGGTTGGCACAGACGCATGCTGGAGACAGCACAAACTACCGCCACATTGATTTCTGATGGGGTGGAGAACTCTGGAATGGCTGCAGGTTTCCAGACCAAAAATTAAATCGTTCCCTTGCTGAGCAGTCAGGGAAAAGATCCCTCCACTCCCCCAGCACTGGGTAACGCAAGCTCCAGATCAAATGTGGAGGAGCCAGGAAGAGTTTACTGCTATTCCTGGTTAGCTGACAGGGGGGTTGTGTTAGGTTTACAAGGATCCTGCCAAGCTAGACGGGGTGGATGCAGAGTAGGAGAAGGAGTATCCATTATCTTCCTTGCTATTTTCCTTTCAGGGAACTCTTGGATTTTGCCCCTCATACACACTGCCTCATGCACTGGGAACATGTGTGGTGGGTTTCCAGACAGTCCCTGTGGCTTGCAGAGCCGGTCTCTTAACCTGTTCCAGTAAAAAACACTGGCATGTGACCTCCCACCAGAGACCCACAGCTGTACCTCAGCATGTGCCCCCCGGCGCAGGGTTACAGACACACCTCACCCCCTACAGTGACTGGCTGCACGTGTGCACATACCCAGGCCTACACTACCACGTGTACACAGAAAACCCATAGCTGGCTTCCAGACATGTCCCTGCTGCACATTAACACACTGCACAGAGCAGTGGATACACACACTCACACCCCTGTATGCCTGCACACACCTGTACAAAACACACATGGCCGCTGGAACACATCGAGCTGCCTGCGCCAACACAGCGAAACATCCAGACGCAGGTGCGGATACATTTGCACACCTGGAAACCTGTACACATGCACGTGCATTCTCATAGCCACGCGTCCCTGCCCCTCCCGGCAGAGACCAGACGCCTGTACTCTAAAACGGCACTGCCAAACAGCTCGGCCTGCCTGTCTTCCTGGCGGAGCGGCGCATCCTGTGCATGCCAAGCTGACGTTTGCTTAGCTATTCCACCCAGCCCACCTCCTCGGCCCTGCCCGCGGCGCGGTGCTGTTCTTTGGGAAGAAGAACAAACAGTGCGGGCAGGACTGAAACAGTATCGGCAGAGGGCAGGTGAAGACTCGCCCGTTGCCCAGGCAGCGGGCAGGCGGGTGTCGTATATCACCGGCCGGCTTTGTTTAGCCCTGGCTATCACCTGAAACATGCCACGCTGAGTAAATAACAGCAACTGCTGGATCTCCTGACATTTGTAAGTGGAGACCCAGGTAAGGGCCCAGCCTCAATGTTGACACCGGTTGCCTTGGTGACCGTGGACAAGGTATAGCTCAGGCATTAATTCTTCATGAATTAGAAGCCAAAGGAAAGAGTTTTTTCCTGGTGGCAGCAGGCCGGTTTGTGATTTCTTTGCCCTGGTGCCATTGAGCGCCCCATGTGCAGGGCAGGGAAGCCAAGGCAAAGCTATGGAGCTGCCCTGGCAGTATGAGCCTCCAGCCAGTGCTGATGGGGAAAGGTGGCTGGAAGGCAAAATCAAGCCAAACAGGGCTGAAAGGATGAGCGAATCCCAACAGGAGGTGGGGGTCCCAGGACAGTGTCTGCTAGGGAGCGGGGGGAGATTCACGCTCCTCTCTCCCGTGTGCGCGCGTTTCTTTAAGCTGCTGGAGGCTTTTAGGGTCTGGAGTTTTCTAACCAACTTTGGTGCTGCCTAATGTAGCTGGCAAGGGGGCAAGGCACTCGCTCAGCGCTGCGCCGTGGGTCACGTGCTCTCAGGAGCTGCCGCCAGTGGAAGAGTGGCACTGAAGGGAAGGTCGCTGCGGGCAGGAGCTGCTGGTGCACAGGGGAGGTTGCTCCCTGTTAGGCTGCAGATCGCTGCTGCACTCAGCTTGCGCCTAGTCTTTACTTTGCACACATCTGTGAGAACTGGGGCCCGTGTGCAGCTCCCGGACCAGATTGTGACTCCCGCCTTCTGCTCCTGTGTCTGTGCTGTGATGATTAGGGCCAGATTTCATATCACACTGCGACTGGGGAAAAACTCTCCGTCTTTTTGTCACTGGCAAATGGGGACAAGAGTTCTAGCTCCCATCCCGCCCCCCGTCACAGAGGTGACGCAAGCCTTATTTAATCAATCTCTGTCAAGTGCTTTGGGACCCACAGACATAGGGGGCTAGACCAGCGGACAGCCATTATACACGAGCTCGCAGGTGTGAGCGGAGGACAGGAGGCTGGTGGGGGATGGGGAACGCCTGTTTTGGTTTCCCCATCCCCAATTAAAGGTCATGTGATCTACAACATGTCACCGACGTTAGATGCAAACAAATTACAACTAAACACGGGAGGCATGTTCTCCTGTCATTCATTCACTTCTGCAGCCCCTGGGAACTCTACATGGCTGAAAGTGGGTCTAATGGTCCCGTGAGCTAAACTTGTGGGACCTCAGCCCAGGCAGAGTATGACAAAGATTTTCAAAGGAGGGTTTATCACAACTGGTGCAATGGCCACTGCATAGGGAGAGTGCTGGAGCCCATAGGCTGAGGAATGAATGCAGCCCAGGTACTGAGTCTAGGAGGTACAAAAAAAGGATGGGCTTACCTAGCCTGCCACACTCTTCCCTCTTGGTGAAGTACTTGAAGCCATTGGCTGCCCTTCGTTCTGCCTTCTCATGTTTCTTCACATGCCAGGGCAGCTTGGTGGTGATGTTGGTCACAAAGTAGCAGCCAGGACGAAGACAGTGGTAATGCCCTCGCATCCTGAATTCACAGTGCTGGAGGGAAGCCAATCAGATTATTTTAGATGCATGCAGGTGACTGCTCCCATCTGCTTACTCCCACACATACTTTCTCTCTCAAGTTCATGATGGAGATAAGCAAGACCTACTGCCACCTTGCTTACCCTTCAAGGGGCCCAGAGCAGGATTGCTCCCTACAGTGCATTCATTCACAGCAAACTCAACAGTCTTATTCTCAATGGTACCTCTACCACTTCCTGCTGGAGACTGCCTACTGTCTGATAGGCTTCTTTTCTGGATACTCCTCTTATATTCTCTTTTGTTTAATTTAATCTTGCATCACTCTGACCATCCAAGACTATTTCCTCTCCCTACTTGGAGTTTTCAGTAGTAATGAGCATAAATCCACACGTCCCTTTCCCTCAAGACCAAGCAAAGGCATCCTGACAATACTTTGAACTTCAGAATTTGGATTCAAATCTCTCTCTAGTTTACACCTTTCAAATAGTTGCTAGATCCATTCAGTAATTCAGGAGTTTCACACCAAGGCATGAACAGGGCCCCTGTTTGTTTTTATATCTTCCCTATGCTTTTCCCCATTCCTCTTTTCCTGCATTTGTTCCCTCACACTCAAACCCCAGCCTGAGCCACCTCCTTGGGTATTCTTGAATGATGCTTACCTGGTTTGGACAGAGACACTGCAGCGAGTAGTAAGCAAACTGGTCTCGCACGTTCACCAGGTTGTTGTTGGGGTTGATGTGGTCCAGGCAGTGGGACTCTGCTTTGCCGGAGGTTTTGCACACGTACTTGCAGTTCCCAAAGAGACAGTGGAAGTGGAACTTGTTGGCATACTTGCAGTCTGTCGCCAGGCAGGGGTCGCTGGAACACAGCCAAAACCCAATCATCATCTTCATTCCCTCTTTCACACCTGGGCATCGTTCCCAACATTCACTCATTTAACTTAGCCCAAGTGACACCTCTAGTCCAAGTGTGGCCTAGAGAGCTCCCATGAATCTCTCCATAATTAGTCAAGAGTTGTAGTCTACAAATATTACTGCAGATCCCAGCATGCATGGTGTTCTCTATACTAGGGTGTATGGCCTGCATGCTGCGATCCATAAATATATGGCTGTAGCTGTGAGCAATCAGGGGCAGATTTGGAGCTTAGTGCTTGACACAGCCAGGGACTGGTCTCTTGCTGGCCCCAGTGCTACCTGCTCTGCTACCAACTCTTGATTTACTGAATCTGTTGAAAGGGGATACAAGTGAGTCAGCATTAGGCCTACAGAGGCAAGGCCTTGCAAGGCTGAGTCCCCAACAGAGAGCCAGGAACTCCTGATGTCTAATTCTAGGTCTGACCTTGACTCTTCCTACAGCCTCAGGTAAGACACTTAAACTCTCTGCCTCTTTCTCCTCACTTCTACAGTGGAGGTGAAGCTTGCCTTCTTCCTAGGAGTGTTTGAAGGCCCCTGAACGTTTGCTAAGAGCTCTGATGCAGATGTGCAGTTGTCACTATTTTACAAGTCCCTTTAGTTAAACACTTTTTAAACAGCAGCTACTAACACTGTAAATAGGACACTGCATTTTGCTACCCTCATGCAGCAGCCTAGCTGGGAAAGCAGAGCTCTTCCAAAGGAGGAGGTGATGGATATCTACTCCCCCTCCCTCACTGTTGGTAAACCCACTGCTGTCTGATCAGAGAGGCTGAGCACTTTCTTTTTTTTCCACTTTATCAATTTTATTGAGAAAATGCATTGCACAGACTGAGACAGATACAGACTTGATGCTCTTATAGAGGCAGCAGGTGCTATTGTGGGCAGAGCCCGTTTCCTTCCCCAGAGGTTGTACAAACCTATTCTTGGTCAGCACTGATGGCTTTGTAGCCACCAGTCTCAGTTATAAGAGAAACAAAGTTGGTGACACCAGTTTTCACTCAGTTTCCCATCACACATCACTCAGTTTCTTCTCATTCCCACCAGATACTAGCCCAATTTTGCCTGAACCTTGTCCAAAGCTTAGCCTAAATCTGGTCCGTCTTGGCCTGAAACCCATACCAGTTTGACCAAACCTTAGGCAAGACCATGCCAAGTATTGGGTTTGTGACAAGACCTACAGGCAGGCAAATCAGGTTCCCTTTGGAACGAATTGCAGTGCTCTCATGCTTTATCCCATACCATCTGGCCTCAGCGACAATGCAAAGCCAAATGCATTTGTTTTCACAGCCCAGGAGGTACGGTGAGGCTGAAGTGATATGTCAATGGGTTTATTTCTCCCCAGACTTTATCTAAAAGTGTTCCCAGATGTGCTGGTTTCTAAGTGCTTGGCAAGTCATTTCTTAGACTTTTTGAGAGCTGCTTTCCTGCAGGGTGGGGACAGGGGCAGAGTGTCCTGGGAAGGCTGGAAGCACCCAGCTGGAAGCAAAGGTGCTGCATCGAATGGGAACATAATGGGAAGGTGATGACTCTGCCTGATCCCTGGGGCTGAAAGGGATGCGCTGAATGCTACGGAGGACTGCAAGACATCCCCTTGTCACCAGAGGAACTCACTTCTCTTGGAACTGGAGGAATCCGGGTTTGACCTGAGGCTTGGCATGCTCTAGGGAAGTTGTTGCCAGGGGTGACGTTGCCAGGTTAGGCACTGACGCTGGGATCTGAGGCATCTGGGGTATGGTGGAAGCCAGCTGCTTCCAAGCTAGCAGCGTGGGGGCAGAGGGCACCGTCGCTGGGCTCAGGGCACCGTCCAGAGTGGGAGCGCTTGCCAGGGTGGCAGAAGTCGCAGGTGGTGACGAGGGGGCCAGGGAGGTCTTGGTCTCAGCAGCGGTTGGGAAGGGAGACTCGGAATTATTTTTCACAGCTCCACCTTCCGTGCGGAAGTGAAAACTGCAACGAGAAGAGGCAGTAGTTCACATTAGGAAGAGGGAGAGAGACAGCGCCACAGGATCCTGGACGGAATAGCGGGAGTGATGACCGTGGGTCAGTGGAACCAATAACAACACGCTCAGAAGACACGTGGAGTACAAATGTCAAAGGCTGAATGCTGAGCGGTCCTGTGGGTCTGCTGGGCAACCTCAGCTCCCCCAGGTTTTCGACCTCTTTCTGGATTTGGCCCCAAAGAGGGAGAACAGTGATTTTAGGTGGTGCCCGGGGTGCGGTCAGCTTGGAGAAATCAGTTGAAAACTAGAGGAGAACCTCTTCCTGCCAGTGAGGTCCACTGGATGGCGTGGGAGACTGCCACACATCTCTACTCAAGTGGCCAAACCCTGAACCCTTCACTCAATCCCTGTCTGGGCAAAGCTCCCACTGACTAAGAGAAGCTTTGCCCGAGTTTTGGCCCATGGACATCAGGGAGAAAAGACGTATTAGGCATTGTGACCGTTGCCTCCCCAGATCCCGCCCTTCCTTTGCTAGTGCCCTTGTACTAACAATGGGGCCCAATCCCAAGGTCCTGGAGTGCTGAGTGTGGTGCAGACTTCAGGAACTGGCTCACACACCAGCACTTTTCAACTGCCTGCATCTTAGCACCGCCCTGCTTTCTGGAGCGCTATGCAGGTGACAAGAAGCCAAGGCCTGGGATGCCTCCACACTAAGAGGGATGGCAGGGCAGGGCTGGGGCGCGGGGGTCTCATTCCCCAGATCCGAGTTCCCTGCCTAGATGCAGTCAGGCAAGCAGGGACCTGGGGAACAGCTCCTGTGTGCAGCAATTACAGCAGGAGTCTATTCAAATGGATCTGCAGAAACAAGGGTGAGACAAATACAACAGGCACCATTACAACTGAAAGGCCTGCTGCTCTGCAGAGGCTATGGCACCGTGTCCTCTGCCCCAAGAAAGGCATTACAAACAGGGAGTGGTGTCTGTGTAGGTGCCACCTGCATGCTTTCTTAGTTCTTATGGCTGTGCATGTCTTTGCTGCTGGGCCCGTAAGTGTTTCTGGTGCATACGGTCTCCTAGATAGTTCTCAGCCTGGCTGTCACTATTAAGTGGGCACGACACCCATCTGCCAAAGGCTGAGCGGCTAAAGTTACTGAACTCACAGGGTGTGCCCGGAGTCAACACCAGAATCAGCTGGATGCAGAAAGACTGTGGATGCTCGGACTGCTGCCCCCTCAGTCGCTGTGTCCACACATAGGAAAGCTCCTCACCAGGGAGTTACAGGATGCCCCTCCCCTCTCCCTGCCACACTGCACCTACTTTGGGGTTTCCTCAATACACATCACCTGACCGTTGTTCTTTCACTTACTTGGCATGTTTGATGGCCCCATCGACAGTACTGAAGAGGGCACCGCATTCCTCCACCACGCAGTGGAAATGCACCTTGTGGAGAAAGTCACACTGGGCATCGCAGAAATCCTTGGTACCAAACCTGAGTAAATGAGACAAACATGCAGCTTACAACAAGCCCAGGAGGGTGGCATTGTTTGAAGGGAGCATTCAGAAAGCAGATGCTCCAGTGAGGGGTGAAGCCATCTAGGACCTGTTGCCTTCCATCAGGGAGGAACTAACTAATCAAGAAGGAGAGAATAACAGGGAATCCTGATGCCAGCGACCAGCAACTGCTTGGATTCACCACAGTTGGGAACGTCATGGGTACATGAGTTTTCAGGCAATTCAGCACTCTGCTATGCAAGGTGCAATGGCAGGAAGTATTTAAAACCCACTAGTGTGGAAGGAGACTGAGGAATTCTGGGCAATTAAGGCATGATGGACAACAATTCCTCTGCAGAGCAGAAAGGCAAGGAGCAAGCAGCAGCCTGTGTGGTCCCAGGAGGGACCTCTGAAAATCTAAGGTTAAAATAACAAAAGGAAGCTTGTGCTGGAAAAGGAAAAGGGCAGTGGATCCAGAACATGAGGGTCAGTTCAGGCTGGCAGGGCAGAGATAAGGGAGAGTAAGGACCTGATAAGGGATGAGATAGCAGCACCAGTCAATGCAAGCTAACGGGGTTATTTTATCGGGGACAAGAGGCACTGTACTCGGAGAGAAAGCAGGCCTCTTCACAATGGCCGAGGTACTCAACTGTTTTTTAAAATCTGCCTCTTCTATGAATGCTAAAGCCCAGACAATTAAGACGGGATGAAGGCCGCAGAGAAGAGCAGATAAGGGAATGCTCAGAAAATGTAAATATGCACACACCAGCCCGTCTGGCTGATATGTGTCCTAGAGCAGGTTGGGAATTAACTCCCCAACTTACTGTGCTGCTACGTGTTATTTTTCAAAAGTGAAGAGAGAAACTGGGAGGGCACCGGAAAGCTGGCAGGAATCACCCAGGCACTGATGCCTTGAGAATAAAAAAGGCAAGAGATCCTGGCTATTATCACACCTCTAGTCTTAACTTTCCTTCCCAGTAAAGTAATGGAACAAATATTAAGAGGGAGGAGAAAATCATTAAACATCCACGGGATAAAGGAACCGCGAGCAATAAACAGCATCAGGATTATACAGAATAAATCTTGCTCGACAAATTTAATTGCTTTTTTTGATAGAATTATCAAATGAGTGGATGAAGGGCTGCAATATATTTTGATTTTAGGAAAGCATTTTGATACCGATTCTCTCATATGCTTAAAATTAATTCAAATTGGCTTGGATGTGAACCTTGCCACATGGATTGAAAACTGGCTGAAGGACCGTAAACAAAGGGTAATGACAAACGACAATGCACTGAGCTGGGAGGAGGTATCTCGGGAGTGCTGTGAGGATGAGTCTGGTTAGGTCTGAGTTTATTTAACGTCTTCATTAGTAATCTAGGAGAAGGAGTAAACAGCATGTTAATGAAATTCACAGATGATACTAAACTGGGCGGAGTTGGAAGCACCAGGGCAAGAGGAAAGAAATAATACAAAGGGGTCTAGAGAGATTAGAGAGGAAATCACTATATGAGATCATATTTGGAAAAATGTAGCTAATATTCAATAGGGGAAAATTCAATGGGAGAGGAAACAAAGAGAGCAGCAAGACAGAGCCATCCAATATCATAGTGGACAGCAGATGCGATCCAAGTGTGCAATATGCTGTGGATGCAAACCCGACAGTACAATTTGGGGCTGCACATGTGGAGCAGGGAACCAGCAGCCCCTCTAGTCCGATGGCCACGTCTCCTGGAGGATTATTCTACCACCTAATCCATGTCACTGTCAGCGTTCTCCCCTGGTCTGCTGCTGTCCCTAAGCAGCGTGGCATCATTAGAGGACAAAATGTTGGCAGGGCAGGATGCTGCATTGGCCAGGGGCAGAAAAACTAGAAGACCTTACAGGTCTTCCCAGTGTTAGTGTCTGTGATTCTATAAAATGTCCACAGGCACATGCAGTCAGTTGTTTATGTCAGAGAACAAAACCATACATGTCTGCATGGGCGTATCCATTAGTTCCTGAATCATGTTTGTCCAGGCACGTATGTGCATGTGTCTGTGTGTGGGTGAGTTTTATCCCTGTTCCATTTTTCCTACAAGCCTCCTTGTCTCTAAAAAAAACAAAACAGTCTCTTAGAACAGGAACCAGTCAGCTGCACAGAGCCCTATGGATCTGCTTTCTTTCACTAGCCCATAAGACCAGACGAGGGGTGCCGAGTTCCACTGTGAGTGCTCTCATGGCTGCTGTGATCTTCAGGTACTAACGGTACAAGATCTAACGATGGCTCCCTGCTGAAGATTACTGATATAAGAAGCTCCCAGGATTCACTTCTTCATCCCCAGAGAAGGGTTCAGGATGAAGAGCACATCACCATACTGCAGCCAGGTGATGGCCCTTGCTGTTAGCTACCTCCCAAAGGAATCTCGTGTCCCAGTTGTGCAAAGTGCTAAGCATCTCTTGTAAGATATGAACACTCCTCGCCTGAGGGAGCTCTGCACTGCAGAAGGGGCTCAGCATCTCATGGGATTAGGCCCTCAAAGTCTGATGTTACTGACTACACTGAACTGAGGCGAACCTGTCAGGGGAACACCATCTTAGGCCTTCCTACAAGAGCTGGCATTTGTAAAGGAAGCTGTTCCTGGCTCCATGCTCTCTTACCTGCGCAGGTACATCTTCCAGGGCTCAGAGAGTTTCTCTTGAACAAGTGCCTTCACGGCCTTGCCCAAGTATGGTGTTGGCTCTCCAGCCCCTGCCTGGTTGCCATCTCCTTCTGTCTTCAAGTTCATCAGGTTGCCAAGGTTGGCATTGGTCTGGGACACCTGTGGTGAGAACATGGAGAGTCCATCAGGCTCAAGTCCCCAGCCAACATGGCTCCACCTGAAAGTGTCCCGTACAAACCGTATTTTCAGGATCACCAGGGAAGATAAGACAAGAGGTTTGCACAGGTTACACCCAGCTTCAGAACAAATTAATAACAGCTTGCTCCTCTCCAGGACTCTCCATCCCAGGATCTCAGAGTGACTCTTCTCTAACTGCAGAGCCTTGCTCACTCCTTTATAACAACTGCCATATATATATATTTCTTCAAAGGATGTATAAACCTTCTCAAATTCTGGGTGAAATCCTGGTTCCACTGAAGTCCTTGCAGAAAAACCCATACATGTACCTGGAGCCAGGATTTCACCCTCTCTGTTAAATGACTGGTTCATACAAACAGGGCCTGGAGCTACAAACCCTCTGCGGAGGGACTGCAGCCTATTGCTGCTCCGGGCTTGCAGGATCAGGCAGAAGCTCAGCCAGAAAGGGAAGTTCCTTAACAGTGTTTACAGAGCAAACTTTCTCTCATGATAAATGTCTGACAATACCCCAGGGGTGCCATCCTGCTCCCCAACTCACACGAGTAGTTCTGCTACGGGCTGTGGAACCCAACGCGCATGCAAACTGAGCTCGGTCTCTGCATTTAGAAACCACCTCCCATCTGAGGATCTCAAAGCCCTTTGTAAACATCAATTAATTAAGCTTGACAGCCCCCCTGAATACACTGCAGAACAACTGCCATACAGAATGGGAACCCTCTGTAAAGGCCCCCTGAAGGTAAAAGCCCTGCTGTTACAATACATCCCTCACGTGCAGCCTGCAGCCCTGTGTGGCTGGGTGTTAGGAATTCTGCTCGTCTGACTCTCTGGAGCCTTTCAGAGTGCTCCCTTCCATGCCCTAAGAGGGGCTTTTCTTTTTTTCTAGGAAAAATTAATGCAAAGAAAGAATTCCTCAACCCCAGGAGGGACAGTTGGGCAGAAAAAGAGGTATGCGCCTGCACATATACAAGTGATAACGTGGAGCCTGACTCTGCAGCCATTACTTTTATGCAAGGTCCCACTGAAGTCAATGGGCCTGATTCTCCATTGCCATACACTTTAAGTCATTACGTAATTCTACACTTAGCCATAAAATGCCACCAATCCTCGTTGCACCCAGGATGCACTTATTTTGCCCGATTCAGGAAAGCCTGTAGGCAAATGCATAACTTCGGGCACGTATTTAAATCGCACTGACTTCAGTAGGACTTGCATCCAAGCACTTTCCTGAGCTGGGGCCATAAGGACGGCTTCAGGTGCCAGGCAATGGAGATTCTGATACAGCGGTCTACTCAGTGGAGGAAGATGTGAAGATTTGGGAGTAGAGACTGGGTGAAGGAGATATGAAGAGAATGGTGGGTGAAAAAACAAAGGGATATAAAGTAGTAATCCACTTCAATGAGAAGCTCAGGGGAAAAGGAACCACCAAAAACCCAGTGGAGAGAAAAGCAGAACGGAGGAGAAAAGTGATTAAAGGATGAAAACAAAACAATTGAGAGGAAAAAGGCCAATGGATAAAGGAAGAGGAGGAGGGGGAGCATCAGACAAAGTCACTTTGCCCTTTCTTGAGGGTTATATGGCCTTGTTGGATGCAATGCCTACAGCTAAAGGGACAGCAATAGTTATGCCTCTAAAACCTATCACACAGTAGGATATTAAAGTGTGGCTCAGAGGCTGCCCTGATCTCTAACGCAGTTGTATACAGTTGCAAAATTAATCTCACTATAGTAAAATTTATCATGTGAAAGGGAAAAATATATTTGAGATGATGTATAATTTAAGAAAAAAAAGGAAAGAAAAAGAAACCGTGCATTATTTAAAATAATATTCCCAAGCATGGTAAAGCGGGCTCTGTTGGACACCATTATTCATGCCAGAAAGGCAGAAATTGATGATTTTGGTTCAAATCTTCCAATTTTATTCTTCTTTACTCTTTTACAAGAACAAATGACCCCCCCTCCCCAATGAAGGCAAAGGTTTCCAAAGAAATAAATAAAAGGCATGAGAGTACAAAGGGGGAGCAAACTTGCCAGGTTCTGGAAATAAAAAAAAATAAATAAAAAATCTTTGCGAGCCCTCCTCTGTCTGGAAAGGATAAAAAAAAAAAAAAAGGTGTCAGAGGCTGCGATATATTTCTTCAGCCAGTTCATTAAATTAATTCGTAAGCAGTGGCTCTGAAATTATACCCGATGAAAAATGGTCTCAAAATTTAAATGGTACAAACTCATCTTATTAGAGGCAAAACATTAAAAAACAAACGCATCTCTCCCCCCCTCGCCATCGCAGCTTTAATTTCTCTTGGTGGGGGGGAATGAAAGGCGTTTGATGGATGGCTCTTACCTTATTCATAAGCGAGGATAAAAGAGATGAATTTGCCGAGACTGCGTGGCCATTTGATTCATTACTGGAACACACAAACCAACAGGGTTCAGTTAAGATGTGCACAGGGACCATGAGCACCGAGATTAATTCTTCTCCCTTCAAACTGCCTCTCTCCCCACCTGCTGCATCCAGAGGAAGACATGATGCCAACCTTCCCTTGGGCAGGTCAAGCTTCCATAGCTAAGATGGATCTCTTGACTGCTCAGCACTCCAGCTCCCACCTCCAATGTCCAGCGTAGCTCCCTCTTCCTTCTCAGCTGACACTCAGCCCATTCCCTATTCCCCCTCCTCAAGTCTTCAACCTACAGGCAATAAGAGGGCACTGCAACCAAGTCTCGGGCTCTTGGGTGCAGAGCTGTATAGATACCTGATGGCAACCCTGACATTAGAGAAGCATGAGTGGGACTAGTTGATCACAACCAAGGACTTTGTCCCAGACCCAGCTGAACTAAAGTAGGGGGAGGAAACCTCAAGAGCTCCAGTAAACCTAGTTCACTAGTCCCATACACCTCATCACCAGTGTAGTCTTCCTCATTTAGAAATCATCAGAAAGCTCGTGCTCTCCATTACAAGGGTGGAGGCTGTGAGACAGGGGCTCTATGTTGTGCAGGTACAGATGCATCAACGTGGCTATCAAAACCCACACTTGTCTAAGGGCATGCTCTGCCTCGGCTGGGGGAAAGAAGGCAACCAGCTACTACGAGCCGCTGATGTACTCCAGTGGTTTCTTTGCTTCCTGTCACCGTTGCCTTCATTCACCTCATACCACCTTCACCTGGCATTGGACAGGGTCCTTCATGAAGGCATGGCCTTGATGTCAACCTTCAACCCCAAGTGTAACAATAGGGGTGGCGATAGGAAAACTGTGGTGGGGAAAGGCCAGTGGTCTAGCGTAGGAGACAAGGCCTTGCAAGTTGTTGAGGCTCTTGATCTGCAAACAGAGCCTAGTGACGTCAACGGGTGTTTGTCATGCAGCGAGGGCCTCAGAGGATGCATGTGTGGGGAAGTCATGGGTGCCTTGAAGGGTGCTCCTAAGACTCTTCCCTTCTCAATTTACAGATTATTCTGACTCATTGCAACCTCCCCACACATGGAAGGACCTTAGAGCAAATGGTTTCCCTAGCACTGCCATGTGTGCAAGTGATCTGGGCGCTCCGGGTTCAGAGGAACCACGCCTGCCTGCCTCCCTCTCTCACCCGTGATCCTTCACGCTCAGGTCCAGGCTGTGCTCTTGCAAGGACTCCTGGGTTGCTGCAGAGGAGGATCCCAAGCTCTCGGCAGGCTCCTGCTTCACTTGAACTGGATTGAACCGGCTGGGAGTTGTTGGCTGCCCATTCCCTGCAAGAGGGAAGGAGACAGAGAGGCCAAAACATGAAAGATGAATTGAAAATGAATGTACAAATGGTAAAACGAGGCGACAGAGGGAAATAAATGAATTAAACCACCTCTGCCACCACCACCCAATAACGGGAAAGAAAGAAATAAAGGGGGAGGCAGGGAAGTGCTTGGGTTGCTGGTCAGCGTTTATTGCTGGACTGACATGATGGGTTCTGACGTCCACTCCAGCGTGGAAATTCTTCAAGTGATAATTATTGCAAAATTATGTCAAAGTTGTCCAGGCTACGGGCCCTTTAAAGGAGAAGGGCGGAAGGAGCGTGGGGGAGACCTGATTCTCTCCACAAACTGTCATAACTAATTTGCGGGGCTGCCTCTTAAGCGTTTATTAAAGACTCTGTTAATGCTGAGGCAATGTGGCAGCTTTCGACTGCTAGTCAAGCCCCCTTTCCATTCCCCAATCTTGCCGTTGCCTTAGCGACCGCTCCAGCCTTCCATTGAGCATGCCCAAAAGGAACATCTGCTGTGTCAGGTCTATCGAAGCTGACAGCCAATCAGATTGGTTCAAACTGCGTGACCTCTCTCCCATCAAGTTGTCCCGACAAAAGAGAAGTCTTTTTTGGGTTTCTTTTTTAAATTAGAAAAATCATTAAATATATTTGTATATGTTTAGGGAGAGAAGAAATAATAATAAAAATCGAAGAGGATGGAAGAAATGAAGGGAAAAGAAAGAAAGAGAAAAAAGTAAGAAGAAGGAGGAAAAAAAATAGAAAGAACAAAAAGCGGAAAAAAGTTGCTGACAGGAACATGTCCACTGAGCTTTTTTCCACAATCCCCAAGTGACTAAAATATTAATTTACCCTCAGGCACTACAGCTGACGGTGAGCTCTTTCACAGACAGCAAGTGGCATTTTATTAAAAAATAAAAGGGAAACCATTCCCTCCATGACCTTTGCCTGTTTGAGAAAAGACTTTTAAAAATAATAATTAAAAAACTTTGTGAAAAGGTCTTTCCCCTTCTTTGATCAGATCGCGTCAGTCCCCTCCCTTCCATGCTCATGGACGAACCGGTTTCAGATGGGGACAAAGCCAACTGATCCACCTGGCCTACCCAAAGCCAACTGGCCTCCCTCAGGGCCTAGGCGATGGGAAGGTTTTCAACAGAGCGAGAGGAATTGTGAAGGCAGTCTGCCATTGCATGTACTCCTCTCAAGTACACTGGTAGAAATCCAGAGCAATGTGACTGCTTCTAGTTGGAGTACCTGGGATTCACAGTGGTGCCCCCAAGAGCCATCTAGCCCACATCTCTAGAAGAGGCCTGAGCCGTTCTGGCCCCAAAGGCTGATTGCAAATTAACTGTCTATGTAGGTTCTAGACGGCAGCAGGTAAAGGTTTTGTTGGTCCCACTGTGGGGTCCTCTCCCATCTTTCTGCTGTATCTTCATGCCGCACCCAAGAAATGTCAATGCTTCTGGCAGATTCCCAGGGGACCAGCTGGCTGTGGGATCACAGGGAAGGAGAGCTACCTGCCGATCAGATCTGGGAAAGCGGAATGTGTGAGCCACTACTGCAGCTCCTAAGAGGATCTACCGGAGGATGCAAAGGGGGGAGCTCCCGCCCTCCCGCAAGAGGACAGAGACAGGGGAGATGAAAGAGAAAGAAATGAACTGGAGCGAAAAGGGAGTGCTGGATGGACTGGACATATCACAGAAGCCTGCTGCCTGGCACAGTGCCAGGGTCAATGCTGTTGTTTGTCCTGTAATTACTGCAGCAGAGGTGCAAGGTGAAGGGGAGGGAGGCATTTGGTGCAGCTCAGTTCATCAGAAGAAACCTGCAGCTGTCAAGACTCCTCTGAAGCGCTGCTAGATACAGCAGTGTTTCCAGACTCTCCATTTCCCCTTGTGTCTCTTACTGGCTTCACCATCCGCCCCCCCCAGCCAGCCCGGCTCTGGGTCTGGAGGTATGGTTATGTCTTGGCAGATGTTCTACCTTCTTTCTTAGGCAGCGTGCCCCCAATCACAGCTCCCCTGATTCCTTATGGATTGTCTACAGCAACCAGCCAGGCACTGAATGGTCCTTGCTGCTGTTTATTTCTTCAGACCATCTCCAACATCCCTCCTACTTGTCCTTTCTTTTGCCCTGTTTTCCTGTGAGACAGAAGCTCAGCTTCATAACAGGGTCCTGATGAAGCAGAAAAGATTCTGCTTGGGGATACGTCAGCAAGGCCTTCAAGGGCAGAGCTGGTGTGTGGGACACTGGATGGACGACAGGGGCAGAGCTCAGCAGGAACCCACCCCAGAGCTCCAGTAGGGGAAGAAGGGGGGAGAGGGAAAAGACCAAAAGGTGGTGACAAGCTGGAGGAAATGTGCTGATGTGTCCACCCAACAAAAGACAAAGGCACAAGATTCCCAGGGAAGCTGTAGACTCTTTCACCGAAGGTTTTTCAAGAAGAGGCTGGAGGAGCATCTGTCTGGGATGATTTAGGAAAGCTGATCCTCCCTAAAGGCGAGAGGGCCCTTGAAGTCCCTTCCAGCCCTATAATCCTCTATGAAGCAAAGACGACAAACCTGAATGGAGAATGGGACATCAGGAAAGGGATATACAAGTCAGGCTCTAAATGCTTCTCAGATCTGACTTACTTTGCTGTCTCATGGAAAGAAAGGAACCACAAGCCCATACTTAGAAGCCAAACCCTTAGGGCTGGAAGATGGATCATGGAAGCAGGTGCTGTTCACTAGCCCCAGGGCTCCAGTGAATTCTCAATCCATTCCCCTTTTAATACAATGCCACTCACTTTCCAGCCTACAGCTTGACGGGTGACACCCAGGGACACGTTCCTTCCCCACAGCTGAGAGAAGCTGTCTCTATTTGTGGGCAAAAGCTGCACACGTTTCCTGCTTCTCTTCCAGCTATGTGGGCAATATCAGGTTCCACAGAGATGCCCCCTGCTAAGACTGCACCTTGGGTTCCCAACTCTTCAACTGGATTGGCTGAATGGCTTCTCCCAGCAATATTCTTGTACAGCTCTCCCCCCACCCGCTAAGCTCAGCTGCCAGCTGGTGGCTGGGTGATTTGACCCATTCTCTCCAAACCAGATGTCTCTCACTCCCAAAACATTTTCCCAGGAAGGTGACTCACCTGCTTCAAGTGCCATGGATGGTTTCAGTGCTGCTGCTGCCAGCCTGGCCATCATGGGTGAAATCAATCCTTTGCTGGCGGAGATCCTCTCCATAATGGACGCTGCTGGAGCTGGGGATGAGGTGGCTGCTGACTCACCGGACCCTGAGATGGCTTGGGAGGGAGAATCGCCAGAAGCAGAGGATGCTGGATTGGTGCTGGAGGAACCAGCTGCCATCAGATTGGCTGAGCTGGCTGGAAGTGGCGTGGAGACCCGGCTAGGGATGATGGGGAAGAAGGAGCCTGCTGTTCCAGGAAGCGCCGAGTTGGAGAGCGCCAGGGCCAGGGGTATATTGCTAGGGAGGGCCTGGGAGAGCAGGCCAGAAATCTTGGTGGCTGGTGGCATGCTGTTGGTAGGCTTGCTGGCCTGTGAGGAGACAAGCTCTGCAGCTGAGGAGGGCGCAGTTGGGATGATCAGGGAGACGGAAGACTGCTGACTGGTTGGGGAGGCACTCAGGCTGGAGTTTTTAGAGCTCATGGCGGAGAAGTCAATGAGGTCATCATTGCTGGACTCCTCCTGCTCGTTATCCTTGGCTCCAAGGAGGGAAGTGGGCAGGCCTAGCACTCCTGAGCTGCGGATGTGCCTGCGCTCATGCTTGCGCTTGTGGGAGGTCATCTGGCTGGTGGAAGTGAAGGTGAAGCCACAGCCTGCCCGGATGCAGTGGAAGTGGTTGGTGGCCTTACTGTAAACGCAGCCCTCATATTTGCACTCCTCATACTTGTAGAACTTCTTGAACCCATCCTTGGCATAGGCGTCATCCTTGATGTGGTAGCTCTTGTGCTTCTCAATGTCACACTTGTTCTTGAAGGTGAATGTACATCCAGGTCGCCTATGAGGGCATGAG